TATTATAATGATCATTAGAAAGGATTTTGTGTTTTCTCTATAATAGGAAGTAAGATAGATACGTATCTCGATTGAGAAGAAATCCATGATCCGTTTAGCGAATATGATGTTATAACGATGATTAAGAAGAAATCTATGATTTCTTTTAATGAATCTCTTCGCCGTCGAAACTTTCTTTTAGTTTATCTCTTTATGATCGTAACATTTCTTTTCAAAAAAAAAAAAAAAAAAAAAAAAAAAAAAAGAAAATGTTTCCTGTTATCGTTTCGTCCAAAAATAATAACAAAGATATGAAAGGGATAAATGAAAGGATTGAAAGGGAGAGTGTCATACATACAGAGACACACCATAGATAGACATACACACATACATACACAGACAGACATGCTATGTCACAAATATATATGGTGACAAAAATACGATTATGGTTCTTTTCACTTTCATCCGGTTTACCATGGATATTTTTGATCTAACACTTTTCATTTGACTAATATTTGAGAGAAAACTAATCAAAGAAATGATCCCACTTTCTCTTTCTCCCTGTTTATCATACTTTCATTCTCTTTGTTCTCTTTTATGTCTCTTTGCATCTGTTCTTTCTTCCTTTTTTCTTCTTCTTGTCTGTTTCTTTCTTTCCTTCTTTCTTTCTTTCTTTTATTCGATTCATATTGTTCGTCTGCCTTTTTATCATTTAGTTCATTCTGCTTGTCTATCTCTTTCATTCTTTCATTCTCTCTCTCTCTCTCTCTCTCATTCCATCTGTCTATCCTATTTCATAAATATCAAATAAATCTCTAATGATTGAAATTACTGACTAAGATTTATTAGATTAACCAATTATATTCCAATTTGTAAAAGAGTACAAACGTTAAAAGTGATTTTTTTCTCCTCTCTCTTTTTTTATCTCTCTCTCTCTCTCTCTCTCTCTCTCTCTTTTTTAACTTCAAGCTCTCTTTCAAGAGTGCTTCTCTTTTATCTTTCTCCTCCCCCGCCCCACCCCCCACCCCTCTCCCTTAGTTAAACTTCTTCGTGTTCGTCTTCGTCTTCTTCTTCTTCTTCTTCTTCTTCTTCTTCTTCTTCTTCTTCTCCTCCTATTTATACACCAGAAGTGGCTCGTTACTATCTCCAAGTACCGTAGTTAATATTAAGCTTAGAGAGGAGAAAAAAAAAAAAAAGAAAAAAGAAAAAAGATGTTAGGGTTGGTGTGCTCTGCCAACGCATGCAACTGCGACGTCGATGTGTTGCTCGACGTGTTGTTGCTTAAATTATAAAAAAAAAAAAACAAAAAAAAAATAGAAAAACAAAAAAAAACAGAAAAAAGAATATGAACGTATTTATTGAAACGTATTTCGAGATATATATTATAGATCAATTTTTGCGTGACTCCTATCGTGGAATAATGAAACCGAGTTATATTATATGACTCTGACAATGAGAGGATTTCTCTAGCAATGTGTATGTCTCTGTGTGTGTGTGTGTGCGTGCGTGTGTGTTATGTGTGTGTGTGTGTGTGTGTCATTTCCTTATTGTTTACGAGCCATTGTGAGTCGAACGTGTCGGAGCTCTGTAATCTTAGGCCAAAGGGTATAGTGACAACAATACGTATGTACGATGTTTTATAAGTTTTTTCTTTTCTTGTTTTTTTTTTCTCTCTTTTTTTTTCTTTTTTTCTTTTTTTTCATTGAGATGATGAAGCCAGACAGATCAGAATAAAACAATGATCTTCTCTCACAAATCTTATGTAAACGAGAACATTAATTTATGTCGTCGTTTTAAATATACTTTATAAATGAATATTTTTATGTATAAATGAATATTTTTAGCGTAATAATTATAATATTATTTAAACGTTAATTATAAAAAAGTGATTATAGAAAAATGTTTTCTACGATTCTGACTCGTTGTATCTTTTTTATAATTGGGCAAATATCAAGATTTTCGATAAAAAGTATCGAATGGGATGTTGCTTATTTAAATAAATTAAAAAAAAGAAAACTATTTAAAATTCTGAATAATCGATATTAATGATATTAATGATCTAATAAAATTGTATAATATATTACAAAAATAAGTTCTATCGTATAAATTAATTATAATAAAATGCACATATATACACACACACACACGCGCGCGTGCACATATATATATATATATATATATATAAAGATCAATCCGATACGGTATAATTTATATAATTATAACTTTGAATTTCATAATATTAATTAATTATAAATCGACATTATAAATTTCTTATATAAATAAAACGTGATATTAAAAGTATCAAAGTCAAACTAACTTCGAGGACAAATTTGCATTATAAACAGGAATAATGTTCACTCACGTAGAGACGATCTTTGTTTACAATCGTAGTTACGTACGTGCGTATAATATAAGAAAAATGTAAACAGAAGAAGAGAATTGATAGGATCTTGCTTATTCGAATGACCGCGACCGACCGATCTTCATTTCGTTCGAGGATACGACACGATATGAATCGCGTGGGCTCGCGTGTTCGAGGCTTCGTTTTCTGAAATTAGGCCATGGTTTCCAAGTACGTCGACTTTACTTTCCATTGCGACGTCGCAATTCACGATCTCTCCCTACGTCCTACGATATGGTATGTAGTAAGTATATATATATATATATAAACGTATATATATACTTATGAGAATTACCTTCGAGCGTGTACCCTTCGAGAGGACCTAGAGACTTTAACGTTTAAACGATTTATGTACGATACAACGTCGATTCAGCGAGAAAATTTACTTCTATATTTCATTTTGCATATATATATATATGTATATACATACATACGTGATATGTACGTAGTTAAATCTTATGTATATGGAAATTGATTCTGGTACGTTCGAAATATGCATGTTTTAAAAGAAGGATCAAGAAAATCGATTTAAATAGTTTCTAAACGATGATCTATTTTATATATTCTCAATTTTTCTTTTTTTCTTTTTTTTTCTTTTTATTCTAAAAATATTTTCTTATTCTAACGATGAATGATCTCTCTTCGTATTATTTATATCGAAATATGTCTTTACGAAGGATCGTGAAAATGATATAATTTATAAAAGACTTTGCGAAATTGATCTAGATATATATATATATTTTCTTTTTTACATACAGCGAAGAAGTTCTTTTATTAATGATCTCTCAACTGGAGCGATGATCTACGATCGAATTAATTTTGTGTTAGATAGGATAAATAGAACTGTTTGTACTCTCAGAATTTTTCTCTCATAATCTTCTAATTGGTTTCAATTAATAATTGACTAATTGATACGATCAATCATGGATTATCCTCTTACCCGTATATGTAAATCGTTGGATCATTTTACGTTTTACATTATTTCATTATATTTTTCTATTTATATATAGATAATAATATTATTTATTGTTAACTGGTAACATTGAAAATATTATTATCATAGATCGATTTTGAAACAAAAAAGGAAATGTCCTTTACGTGTCTATCATAAATTTAATACATACATAAGGGATTAGACGATTCAAGAAACCAACAACATACTCGATTCCATTGACATCATGACATGAATTTTAATTTTCCTATGGGAAAATACATCGACTTTAACCTTTTAAATCTTCCGATAAAATAAGAGAGAGAAAAAAAGAGAGAGAAAACATTGACGTGTATACAGAAGTAAATAAGAAAAACACATAGATCGATTTTGTAAGTCGAATCAAGGTTATATTTTGTTGGTAAAATCGAATGGATTTCGAAAATGTCGAAAAAGAAAAAAAAAAAAGAAAAAGAAAAAAGCAAATAAAAAACGAAACGAAACGAAAGATAAAAATCGTACAAAAAATACGAAATGTATATATGTATATATGTATGTATGTATGTATGTATGTGTGTGTGTGTGTGTGTGTGTGAAAGGAATTTTTTTGTTTGTTTGAAGGAAGTATTAGATGAGTGAGTAAGTAAGTAAGTACTTACTTTCTCCGGTGAAGAACAATTAAAGATCAACGTTGGTGAAGTTGTACATTGCTATGGGGGTTGGCGTGAAGAATGGGGATAGGGGATGAGGGTGGGGGTATGAGGAGAAGAAGGATGAGGAGGGAAGGGACTGTCGTCAGACCAGAAATCCGGGATACCAAATTAGCAACGATGAGACATAGGCGAAGGAAAACGTTTCTCTGTGTGTGTGTGTGTGTGTGTGTGTGTGTGTGTGTGTGTGTATATGTGTGTGTTTGTGTTTGAGTGCACAAGAGGAGAAGGAGGAGGGAGAGAGGTAGAAATCCCTAGAAAATGGACGTCCTTTTTGTTTTAGACGTTAATCGAATAAAGCGTTCACGTTTATCTTGGCTAAACGAGATCGTTTTCGTACGATCGAAAGATTTTAATATCGTTTATTTATAAGGATTTTTGTTTGAAAAATTTTTTCTTTCATTATTATAGTAATTAGTTAATTATTATTATAAATTTTGATTGTCATAAATTAAATCGCAAATTGATCATTGAAAAAGTTTTATCAATTATGACATTTCTATATGTTTATAATTTTTATATTTCATTTCGGATAATTATTCCTTATGATAATTGTATTTAAATGATTCCAATTTATTATAATAGAAAGTTAATTTTTAATTTTTAATTTAATGATCGTTGATTTTTTTTTCCTGTTGTTACAACAGTTACAACAATATTAATCAATAATAAGTACTTAGTTTTAATTGTACTTGTTAATGTTTCTTTTTTTTTTTCTTTTTTTTTTTTTTTGTTACTTTCTACGATGACTCTTGAAAGTTAAGAATTAAATAACGACGATTGATAATTTTGTCATTATTGTTCTGATCAATGGCAGAACAAACTTGTAATCTTTTTCTTTTTTTTTTTTTCTTTTTTCTTTTTTCTTTCCTCTTTTATCACGCGAGATATTTCTTTTTTTTTTTTCTTCTTCTGTTCCTATCGAAAAAAATTTTTTCCCGAGAACACCATTATCTATCTGTATTCGTTTATCTTACAGATAAAAAATGTGAGCTGGTTAAAAAGATATAAAACAAAGCAGAGAAATGGCATTGACGATCGTCCCCTCGGCCCGCGTTTTTAATGGAAACGGTGAGTGAGTTTATTTTATTAATTGTATATGTATATATATATATATATATTTTTTTTTTCTTATATTTTATATTTCTTATTTATTCTATGTTTATATTTCTTATATATCTTATTTTTATATACATATATATATATATATATATATTTATATTTTTTTTTTATATTTATTGTCATGTCATGTCATTCGCGTTTAGAATCGCTTTTAGGATAATTTCACTTCGTATTTACGTACACATATACATACATGTATATATATTTCATGATGGCAGAAGTGAGGCATGAGGGACACGTAAACGGGATCCCCGTGTTCTCCCGGCTAACGAACTTTGCCAGATTATTATTACCGTGGATCTGGATGTCGGCCAATGGTTACAACATATTTCGCTTTACAGTGACCGTCGGCCATTAACCTCGACGAAACTCGTCCCGTTGATGTAAACATCGAACTTAACCCCTTAAAAAGTTCTTTAACAAAGTTACATACTTTTATATATATATATCTATATATATATGTATATATACGTATACGTATATAAATTGAATATTTTATTTCATTTTCAATTTCATTTTGACGCGTCCTTTCCCCATTCGTATATTAAATTTGTTACGTTTTTATTTTTTTTTTATTTATTTATTTATTTTTTTTTTATTATATATACACACACATTAGAGCGTAACAAATATATTATACCGTAATACACTCGTACATAATTAATATATACAAGTAATGGTACAATTTTCACACATATACTACATATCATTTTTAAATTGATTAAATGGACACTGAAAGAAAATAAAATTGAATTCATGTTGAATGTTAAACTCTACCGCTCGATTCTTTTTCGACGATCGTAAAAGAAATTCTCTTTTTTTTTTCTTTTTTTTTCTTGCTTTTTTCTTCTTCGTTATCATTTTTATCTTCGCGAATATATCGTTTTATTTGACATGTACGTGTATCATTTTGTTTGTTTCTTTTTTATTAATTTTAGTCGCAGGCACGCAGGCTTATGTTTCCGGCTCAAAATGTCTCTGTTGTCCATACGGTTATCACATCGATCTAGATTTCGTACGTTACTGTGAAGCAGTTGCAGCTGGTAGTACAGGCGATAGATCGAGCATCGAGAGACGAAAGAAACGTGAACGCAGAAGACAATGTCAATCGATGGAAGTTCTCTTAGGACTGGTAATAAAATAATTCCATTCAAAATATCGATCGGTCGATCGATCGATCGATTTCTTAGATCCTTCGAAATCTGTTTTATCGACCGAGAATAGATCATCTAATCTAAAAAGACAAATAAAAAATAGCAAATATTTCGATCGATCCTTCGATACCTATTTTACCGACCTAGTAGATCGACTAAATTAAAAGATAAGAATATATAAAAAAAAAAAAAAGAATAAAAAACGATTACGAACGAAAAGAACGTAATGATAACTATTAGATAACGATTTGGCGTTGGAAATTATAATTGCGATTTAAAAAAAAAAAAGAAAATATTTATCGATATATTCTATCGAATATTTTATCGACGAATAAACGACAGGCGAGCGAATTAACGATTATAAAAAGAATTTGTGTAAAACGATCGATCTTTTAGATTTGCCGAAAACTGTTTTACCGATCGAGAGTAGATCGTTTGATTAAAAAAAAAAAAAAAAAAAAAGAAAAAAAGAGAGAACAAATAAAATAAAATAAAATAAAATAAAATAAAGAATAAATGTAAGAGTGATTACGCGTGCACACAGCTCTAAAGACGTAATAATTAATTTACTGGCTGACGATTTAGCTTGAGAATTTCAAAATGGCGATTTAGAACGTATTTATTAATAAACGATGAATAAGCGAGAGGCGAGTGAACTACTAACAATTTAACGATGACAAAAAGATGACAAGCGAGTGTGCGAGAGAGAGAGAGAGAGAGAGAGAGAGAGAGAGAGAGAGAGAGAGACAGAGAAAAATAAAGAAAGAGATTCAGAGATAGATAGAGAAAGAGATAGATAGATTGAAAGAGAGAGAGAGAGAGAGAGAGTTGAACTATTAAAGTTGAGCGACGCAACCAGGTCGCGCGTCCTAATGCGCGTTCTATTTTTTTTTCCTGTCTCCTTCTTCTTCTTTTTTTTTTTTTCTTTTTTCTTTATAACATTAGGTGAGTCCAGGTCTAGCGGGAATAGAGACCGAATCGCCAGAAATATCACGAGAATCTTCGGGGTTAGCCACGTTGGCGACTACGTCTACGACGAGAAACAATTGCGATGGTTCGAGTACTATACCAAGATCGAGCCATCATCAACGGCATCATCAACGTATGGATGATAACAGGGACGAATCCAGGACTAATACTACTACTACTGCTACTACTACTACTAGTATTACTGCTACTGCTACTACCAATACCACCACAACCTTGGATTTGAGTGATGTAGTAGGTGATTTCGAGGCAACCTTGAAACGTTCGTCAGGTAGAGGATCTACGAGAATTCGCGAGGATCGTCCTGAGATCGGTAAGATATATTATTTTTTTTATTCTCTTTTTTCTTCTTTGATTATTAATTTAATTTATTATCACGCGATTATGATTTTCTAAATGTATGTACGTAATATGTATATATGTATATATTTAGAAATATTAGAGAGAAAATGTTAGAAAATTATTTAGAATGGAGTGAGGAAGGATGTCGTACGTAGGAAAGTAGATCGATTCTTATGGTGAAAGACGAGAAAATCGAGGGAAAGAAAGAGAGAGGAATGAGAGATTTAATAATTTCACGCATATTTGATTTCCTCGTTCTAAATCCCGTCTAGTTTGCGCCATATTGTAAATCTATTCATAACCCAAATAATCTTTTGGTTATATCGTTAAAAATAATCATCGAATAAGAAATATCAACGATATAAAAAACAAATAAACAAACAAACAAATAAACAAACAAACAAACAAAACAAAACAAAAAGCCAAAAAAGAAAAAGAAAAAGAAGAACTCTTGGGAGATATTTTCATTGAAATTGAAATTAATTTTCTTTGTTCTAAAACGAAATAACAATAGTTATATATATATATATATTTAAATTTTTTCTCTGGTTCAAAATCATAAGGAAATTCTTTTTCTTTCTTTCTTTCTTTTTTTCTTTTTTTTTTTTTCTTCTTCTTTTTTCCTTTTAACCGGATCCCTCGCACTAAGGAATTTGTTATTCGAAGTAACGTACTCGAATAAAATTCATGGGAATTTCACTTCACTCGGATAGCATTGTCGTTTTAAAAGAAAGGATCGCCAATCTCAGTTTTCTCATGGAGTTGCATAGCGAAACCGAGTTCCTCTTCTTTGGCACGAAGATGGAGAGGTAATTCGAAGAGCTCCTTCTAATGTTTCCTCTTTCTTTTTTTTCTTTTTTTTTTTTTCTTCACCTTTCTTCCTCCCCCCAGCCCTCTTTCCCCCCTCTCTCTCTCCTCAACCCCCCTCTCACAACCCCCCCTTTTCCATCTCTCTCAACATAGTTCTCCTTTTCTTCCTCCCCCAGCCACACTTTCCCCCACCCCCCGCTCTCTCTTTCTCTCTTCAACCCTCCCCCCTCCCTCCCACAACCCCCTCCCCCCTTTTCCATCTCTCTCAACATAGTTCTTCTCCTTTTCTTTTTTCTTATCGCGTATCATCGGACAATGGAGTAACACCGAGGAAAGGAACGCTTTTAGATATTCGTGAGGCATCCAATTAAAACAGAGCTGTGAAACTTCCGTCGATTTAACGGTGATTTCGCAAAAGTACAACCTCGGCTACATTGAGAAATAAAAGTTGAAAACTCTTTATTCAAATATTATTCGTACATTTAATTTATTCTTTGGAAGTTAAATCATAATTATACATTGTCAAATTTAATATGATAAACGATTAGAAAATGTAAAGTGAAAGTAATCATCAATTCATTCGTCATTTTATTAACTTCAAACAGGAATGTATTATATAAATATTTCTAATTTTTTATTTAACACTGATATCTATTAATCTTCTTTCACGTGGATATATATATAATTATTATAACCAGTTCTGTGATGATCAATTTTGATTTGATTTGATTTGATTTGATTCAATTGGATTTTTTTTTTTCTTCTTCTTCAATATTTTCCTAAGAACTAAATTAAGCGTCACATTAGAAAGTGATCTTAATAATGTAATTCTAAATAATTTTCACTGTAGTAATCGTTTTCTTTTTTATTTTTTTTTTTTTAATTTGAATCTATTCGCTAATAAGTTCGCTCCTTTTTTTTTTTGTTTTTTTGAATAAATTTTCAAAATCGTATAATAAAAAAAAAAAAAAAAAGAAAAAAAAAACAAAGAAAAATAATAGTAAGTCCATCCTCTTTTCTTTTGATAAATTTATAAAATACCGTGTGACAAGATATATTTGGTATCGATGAAATAATCGCTTTTGCCCATTGGAGATTACTTTTATGATACTTTTCAAGGAGTTAATAGGAAAGAAAAAAAAAAGAAACGAAAAAAACAGAAGGAAGAAACTAAAGGATAAGGAATTAAGGAAGTTCGTGAAAAATGGCGGGTAATGTTGACCTCTGAGTTCAGAAACTTGCCACGGGAAAGTCGTCGGTGCGTGGCTGGAACCACCTGTTTCCTGTACGTTCCAACTAACGCGCGCTTCCAGAGCCGGTGTTTCCATCGGGAACACCTGTGCGCATCTATCGCATCATTTCTCACATATATATATATATATATATATATATATATATATATATATATATCTTCCTTCTGTGACCAATTGATTTAAGTGCGCTTCAAAATATCGATCAATATCCAATTTTCCGATATAAGAGATACAATAATTAATATAAATTGATCGTTTCAAAAGTTAATCAAGAACTCAATGTTCTATTCCTCATACTCCATTTATTTATTTATTTATTTATTTATTTATTTATTTATTTATTTATTTGTTTGTTTGTTTGTTTGTTTGTTTGTTTGTTTGCCAAGAACTCTCTCGTTTTTTTTATGTATATTTTTTTTATAAAAAAAGAAAAAAAAAGAAAAAAAAAAAAGAAAATATACAGCGCTTGTTTCACACATTAGCTTATAACAATTAGATATTATATGTATAATGTATACGTATAATATAATAATTTATTGTAAAATGTCAATCTTAAAATTGTTCGAGTTCGAGATAATGAAGTGAAAAAATAAAAAAGAAGAAAAAAAAAAGAGAAAAAAAAGAAAACTTCATTTCAGTAATCAATGATGTTATCCAATTGTATTTGGATTTATAACGGTGAATATAAAATACGAGTTTAAAGGGTTAATGTATGAAGACCAAATGGAAAACTAAACCATCCCCGATTTGGAAAAGATCGTTACGTGACTTTATCAGGCATGTTTCAAACCGTTTCCATAATACCTTCTCGCTCGTCACACATATGGCGCGAAACACCTGTCGATTCGAAACGTCCAACATAAATTTTTTCTTAGAATCGTCTGAAAAAAAAAAAAAAAAAAAAAAAAAAGAAAGAAAAAGTAAAAAAGCATTTTTTTCCCCCTCTTTTCATCCTAATATCCATCTCTGGCCATTTGATTTAAATTTATTGATATTTACAAATCACTATTTTTTATTTTTCTCATTGTTATGCGATAAAGATAGACGATAGATAACGTAATATTTGTTTTGGAGACGCAAAGAAAAAAAAAGAAAAAAGAAAAAAAAGAAAAAGAAAAAAATATTCGGTTAACCTTGAGTAATATCACGTTCAACATCAGCGAAACAAATCATACTTAACTTAAGATAACGAAGAGAAGTGAGATAAACTGTGAGAGAAAGTGATTAGAATAAAAGTGATCGCAAACATACTAGGAAAACAAATTAATATAAAAATAAAAAAAAAAAACAACAAGAGAGAGAGAGAGAGAGAGAGAGAAATCGAAAAAGAGTATTTTAGAGCTTAGATCACGCGATAAATATTTTATAATTGTGTCGATAATATGGAAAAAATGAGAAATTAAATTTTTTTTTTTTCGATTAAACAATTTCAATATTACGAACGAATTATAAGGAGTGACCGGAAAAAAGAAAGATTGAGGAAAAAAAAATTACCTACAGATTTAAAATAATTATTTATCTTAATATTTATCTCAATGTTGCCATAAACAAATAAATATAAATTAAACTGACAAATAAATAAATTTATCATCTCATAAAATTATATTATTATTACTATTATTATTATTATTATTATTATTATTATTATTATTATTATTATTATTATTATTATTATTATTATTATTATTTATTATTATTATTATCATCATATATCGAGTATATATTAAAAAAAAAAAAAGAAAAAAAAAGAAAAAAAAAGCTGGAAGAACAATATTTACGTGCAACATAGATATTTCTTCGATATTATAAATTTCGAGTGGGAAAGTTGTTCTCTTTTTTTTTTTTTTCGTGCGATTAAAATGAATGAATTAATGAAGCGAATGGATTAATCACGTAAACAGTTAGAAAGAGAAACACCATGAAAACATATATATATATATATATATATATATATATATTTCTTTTTTTTTTTCCCTTTCTCCCAACCACTTGGATTAATAAAGAAAGAGAAGTCGGTGGTTGTATCACGATGGAAGGAGTACAGAAGAGGAGAGAGACCTTTCCCGCCGCCACCGCCGCCACCCCCCAGCCCCCAGCCCCTATCTTCCAGCCCCCACCCCCTCCCCAACTTCTCCACCCCCTCCTCCTCCTCCTCCTCCTCCTCCTCCTCCTCCTCCTCTTCCACGTTCACATACGCGCGCACGCTCGACTGTTCGCGATCGTATCCGGAGTCTCTTCCTTGGCCTATAGTCTTCGACTTTGGCTTGGTCTGGCAGTCAAACCGAAACTGTCGTTGTGGTTAAAACAAAGTTCCCGCGGCGAACAATCGATCGATGCTCGATCAAAATGGAAAAACGAACGATTATTCATCGTAAATCTACGTTTAAACGTATTTCTTTATTAATCTATTAATCTATATACATATATATATACATATATATATATATATATATATATATATATATATATATACATACATGCAGAAGGACATCTATGGTGTCGTGCAGTGAAAAGTAAGGAAAGAAAAAAAAATAACAAAAACAACAACAACAACAACAACAGTGTAATTATTAAGGAATATTAAAAAGAAAAAAAAATTATATACATATATATATATATATATGTGTGTAGATAGATAGATAGATAGAGATATATGATAGATTGTGTGAAAGATTATTAAAAAATCAAAAATGGGGATGAAGAATTTTATTATGAAGCGGATACCATTCTGCAAATTGAAAATTAAACGAAAATATCGTAAGTTTTTATTTCTTTTGTATATCATATGTATATTACTGTGTGTTGTTCGTTTTCTCTCTATTAAAGTACACCCAGACGGTGTCTTGCATTTTACGAGTACAAAATATATATGTGTTGTGTGTGTATCTGTATCCGTGTCTGTTCGTGTATTTGTTTGTGTGTATGTGTGTGTGTGTGTGTGTGTGTCTGCGTGCGAGTACGCTTTCGCGAAGAAATTAAGTTCGAAACGGTCCAACGAGCGAAGTTATTTATAAGTCGACCGAATATCGGCTTCTTGCTCTTCCCGGTGATTATTAATAATCGGCATAACATCTTTGCTCACCAAGAAAAAGAAAAAAAAAGAAAGAGAAAAAAAAATCGAGAGGTGTCGCTATTATTACTACTTCTTTTTTTTTTTTTTTTTTTTTCCTTTCTTTTTTCTTAAAGAAAATCCTTCAGCGTTTTGTCAGTGATATTTTCCTTTCTTTCTTTCTTTTTCTTTTTGTTGAAGATTAATTCATTAGATATTACGGGATCCCATCAGTGATATTTTATTCATTTACTTTTGTATTTATTTTAAGCTTAAATCAATAAGGATCTTACGTCAGTGATGTAAACAAAAATCTTGCTTTTTTTCTTTTTTTTTTTTTTTTTTTTCCATTGAAGCTTGCATCATTCGGAGCAATACCCGTAATTACTTTTTATTTTTTCTAACGGGGCTAAAATTAATTATGGGTCTCGGCGATGATTTATTTATTTATCTTTTCCTTTAACCTCAGATTAGTTGGAATCCTACTAGTGATTTTTGTTTTTTTCCCCTTAAAGATTAGATATCGTTTCGGGTCTTACGAATTTTAGATTAATTAAGTTCCTTCTAATGATTTATTTATATATTTCGTCTTTTTTTCTTTTTTTTTTTTTGTTCGAAAGAGTTCAGATTAGTTAGACTCTTACCAATAAATCTTTTTATTCATTTTCTTTTCTTTTTACTTTTTTTTTTTCTTTTTTCTTTTTTTGGAAAGATTAGTTCGAATCTCGCCACTGAGTTTTTCTTTCTTTCTTTTTTTTTTTTTTTTTTTTTTTTTTATATTTTGCTTTTTGTTAAAGGTTCAAGCAAGCATAACACAGCGAGTCCAATTAACTTACGCCGTTATCTAAGTCCAAACAAGTTGAATTCATTATCATTGCGTCAAACGTGTTATCCGAAGGCGCATCGTTTCGCTTCTAGAACTCGAACGACCTCGAATCTCTCTCTCTCTCTCTCTCTCTCACTTTTTTTTCTTTCTCTTCTCGTTTTTTCTCTCTCTCTCTCTTTTCTTTCTCTACTCTGGTTGGATAGTGTACGACTTGAATAGGCAATTGATCGTAACTTGTCGTGATCTTTGCATCGATCATTGCAATAGATCTCCGCGATTCTTTGCTTTTGATCGAAACAACGTTTAGATAAGTTCTTTAATCAAATGTTATAAGTTGATTTATAAATTAATTTTATTAATAATAAAATTTTTTTTTTTTTTTTTTATACGATAAAATGACACTTGTTTATGGATTAGTTCGATATTGATCATTCCGATAAATATGATAATCTATTATCAATATGCTTTGTTTTACCATTCTTTTTCCTTTTTTTCTTTTTTTTTTTTTTATTGTTATTGGATTCATCATAAAGTATATTAATTTATATTGTATTGCCAAATGGATGATCTAAATAATATTAAATATATGACATTATAATATATAAGATGGTATTTATGTCATCGTAAATAATGAAATATTATTTTATTATAGTAAATACAAATTGATAGAAATTAAAAATTTTAATACCAAATTATTATTATTATTATTATTATTATTATTATTATTATTATTATTATTATTATTATTATTATTATTATTATTATTATTATTATTACTATTACTATTATTATTATTATTATTATTATAAAGACCATACTAATATGGACAGTTATTTATGAATCAACTTAAAAAAAAAATAAATAAATAAATAAAAAAGTAAAAAAATAAAAAAATTACCTCTATTATATTAATAAAATATTTCTTACGTCAAGTTATTATTATTTATATCTCGATTAATTATTAATAAGACGAATTTACAAGTTGAAACATTTTTCGTTGCGCTTTCCCGCGCTTTTTACATTAACAGTTACGACTAGTAAAGGTAATATAAAAATTTCTTTTATTACGCTTACCTGGCTTTAGTACCCGCATATGTACATAACATATTTATACATATGTATATATGTATATACTTAATGGTATGCACCAGTGAGAGCAAGTGTGCATTGTTCCACATTAAACATATTTAAGTACATAAGTACGTATATATATGTAAAATGTACATAAATGCATATATATACAGATCTTATACGATAAAGCGTTGCAGTTCGATGCGAATCGCGTGCCACGAATCCATTCGTACGTAGTCTCATTTTTAGATTTTTTCCAACTATTTCTATTCAAATAAAATAATGATTATGGTAAACGCATTCCGTACTGTAATTCGTTACATAAAAACTTAATTGAAAAAATTCTAAACTCTCGGCCATTTTTAATACATAACAATGGTTTTAAAAGATGAACTCATTTTTTTAAGAGATGCACTCATTTAAATATTAATTATTATTATTATTATTATTATTATTATTATTATTATTATTATTATTAGTATTGTTGTTAGAACAAAGAAAAAATTTATTAAGTAATGTATATTTATTGAATGATCAATTATTTTTTAAATTCAGCGTTTATTGTACCGAATAATTTTTTATTATTACTTTATCAATGATAATAAGGTCAATGATCCCACCCGCGTTATCTCTAGCCTGTCACTGACATTTAAAAGAAATGAGATATATACTCTAATAATTTGTATCAAAAAATTAATTTTTAATTTAATAATAAAATTAATATATAATATCAATAGACAATATTATTAAATAGAAATCGAATGTACTTTAATTTAAATTGAATTAAGGAGTCAATTTTAACTCAAAATTAATCATTAAAAAAAAAAAAGAAAAAAAAAGAAATATATAAAATTTAATTCCATTTAATTAAACTTTATGAATGAATGAATCAATGAATGATTCATAATCTGTTAATAATGAATGAATGAATGAACGAACGAATGAATGAAATATATAAATGTTAATTGAAACTTTTTCATTAAAGATGGAACGACAAAGACAACGCCAGTTGTGCAACCAACAACGCGTACGAATGATCTCGATGATGCCAGCATCGGAAGTATTAATTCAAATCTCAGTACTGGTGCATTACAGGTATAATAAATGTTAATTAATTAAATAAATAAATAATATTTTCTGTTTGATTTGACATTTGCATTTACTCGAGAAGAAGATAGAAAGTTCACGTGTATATATATATATATATATATATATATATATATATATATATATATATATATATTTATGTACGTAATAATGTTTTCCTTTGTTTGTTTGTTAATATTATTAGAACATTCGTGAACAGATGGCAGCATCTTTGGAGAGAATGAGAGAGTTGGAGGAACAGGTCAAGGCAATTCCCATGCTAGAGGTAATTTTTCACAACTACGTTTCGATTCCTTTCATAAGGATGACTTAACCCATTAACCCTTTCTAATGTCATAACATTGAAAAGTCACGTATTAATATCGCAATAGTTCTTTCTCTATTTCATTCTTTTCTTTCTTTTTTTTTTTCCTTTTTTTTTCTTTTTTTTTCACCTGTTAGAAACTTTATTGTTAGTTAGATCGAAAGGTTAATATTTCCTAAGTTCAAATAATGTACTTACATTAGTACAATTTATATATTTAATGGTATACATACATTGTTACGGTACAATTATTATAATATTATCGTATTATTGTTATATTATATTAAAACGAAATAATAGAAAATTTAATTTTACTTTTCTTTCTTTTTTCTTTTTTCTTTTTTCTTTTTTTTTTTAGACATAACTTTTGTTTTATATCGTAACAATGTTACATTATAATAATATTATATTAATATTTATTAATTATAGGTCTCGGTGATGATTTATTTATTTATTTATTTTTTTTTCCTTTAACCTCAGATTATTTGGAATTATACTAGTGATTTTTTTTTTTTTCCTTTAAGATTAGATATCTGTTCGGGTCTTACGAATTTAAATTAATTAAATTTCTTCTAATGATTTATTTATATATTTTGTTTTTTGTTTTTTCTTTTTTTTTTTTTGTTCGAAAGAGTTCAGATTAGTTAGACTCTTACCAATAAATCTTTTTATTCATTTTCTTTTTTTTTTTTTTTTTTTTCATTTATATCTTGCTTTTTGTTAAAGGTCCAAGCAAGCATAACATTATTCAATTTAATATAATTACCTTATCATATTATATAATAATCTATGCCTATTAATATTGTTATACTATAATTTAGTATTACTTTTAACATATATATATATATATATATATTATAGTAATAATAATAATTAAAAATATTAAATCATTATTCGTAATAAAAATGGAGTAAACTGAACATTTAAATAGTGATATCACAAAAGATACTTTGACTATAATAATTTACAAAATTTGTCTCTGATAAATTGAAAAATTGAAAATTCTCGTTAAAAAATATATAATTCGAAATTGTATTTAAATTATTATTATATGTATATTATATCATATTAATACCGAAAAGTAATGTCGCTTTCTTAAATTAAATTCAAACGAATAAATTTTTAACAATTTTTAACAATTTTTAACAATCAAATATCGACATACGTAGAAACGACATTACCTTCCGGTCCATCTAATACATATACGTATACTGTTAACAGTAATACTTGATTAAAGTCAATTACACAATTCAATGAAATGTTTCTTTTGATTTGAATTGTGTGACGGATGGCGAACAGGTGCAATTGTCGGTAATAAATTTTTAACAATTTTTAACAATCAAATATCGACATACGTAGAAACGACATTACCTTCCGGTCCATCTAATACATATACGTATACTGTTAACAGTAATACTTGATTAAAGTCAATTACACAATTCAATGAAATGTTTCTTTTGATTTGAATTGTGTGACGGATGGCGAACAGGTGCAATTGTCGGTAATAAATTTTTAACAATTTTTAACAATCAAATATCGACATACGTAGAAACGACATTACCTTCCGGTCCATCTAATACATATACGTATACTGTTAACAGTAATACTTGATTAAAGTCAATTACACAATTCAATGAAATGTTTCTTTTGATTTGAATTGTGTGACGGGTGGCGAATAGGTGCAATTGTCGGTATTGAAAGAAGAGAAGAGGAATCTTTTGCGACGAGTCGAGGAGCTGAGTAAAAAGAATTCCAAGGAGGAAAAGAAGAGGGAGATAAAGGAGGTGAAGGAGATGAAGAAGGTAGAGAAAAAGGAGAGGGAAAAGGAGAGGGAAGAGGATACGACGGAAGGAATAGTGGAGGAGATTATTGAAACTCAAAAGAGATATCGTAGTCAGTCGTTCTCGGAAGAACGAAATTCTTGGCGCGAGCCGAAAAGGAACAATGAATATCGTAATGGTTATGGTTGGTGGTACGGTGCCGTCAATTCGACGACGCCTACAACGAGGGATACCGGAACGATGTGCGCCGTCATGACGCGGGACGTCGGAGTTTCGCACCAGCAGGTATTTTTACCGTTCCACACTTCCGTTAACAATTATTTTCTTATACATCCAATTCGTTCTGCTTCGTGAAATCCTTCATGTCTGTACAAACGTTCGTTTGGAGAATTTTGTTCTTTCTCTTTCTTCTTTTATTTTTTTTTTCTTTTCCTTTTTTTTTTCTTTTCCTTTTTTTTCTCCCCTTTCATTTCCTCTTCTCCTTTTTTCTTCTTCTTCTATCTTGCAAAAAAAAAAAAAATTGTAGATAATAAAAATCTCGTAGGATTGCTTTTCTATTTAATCGCAGGACGTCGCTCAGCGGACGTATGTCCATTCTCTTCCTTCTCCTCCCCCCCCCACACACACTAATATAGAAATTGCACTTGTATGTTATTAAAATTTGTTCTCACGTTTGGCTTTAGTGGAACAAAAAATATTTCTAGAAATTTTTGATTGTAGATACGTTGAGTTTTCTTTTTTTCGTCTTTTTCTTTTTTCTTTTTTTTTTTTTTCTTTTTTTTTTCTATGGTAGAAAATTGTTAAAGATGTTTCAGGATTATGTGCATCGATCATGTTCTTCATGTCGTTGTTTTAACGCTTGCGAGTATCGTTGCACTTTTAGTTAACAGTTACTTCTTATATATATATATATATATACATTTCGTTCTGCTTCGGGAAATCTTACGAAATGTACATTCGAAGAATTTCTTTTTTCTCTCCCTTTCTTCGAGAAAATCATAGACAATTTGTATTTCTTAGAATTGATTTCAATTAATTATAGGATATTACTGTAGGTGTAATTCCCATTGTATTTCTGTTGTATCAAGTTCGTCTTGTTTTGTTTTGGTTCTTTTTTTTTTTTCTCTCTTCTATTAGTTCCGAATGAAAAATTAGAAAAATCTTTAGCCTGTACGTAGTGTTTTCTTTTGTATTTTTTTTTTCTGTTCTTATTTTTTCTTTTTTTTTTCTTCTTTTTTTTTTTTTTTCTAGAAAATTGTTGATGATCTTTCGTATGATCAAACATCGACAATCATCACAATTGCAAATATCTGTGCTGTTTCATCGTCATCAATTTCATTTGTTTCATTTATTTTATCTTGAGAAATCAATGGATTTTTCATATGTCATTTATTTTTCACAAAAAAGAAGTCATTGAAAATCTTTAACGATTATGTAGAAATATATCACGTGAACGTGTTGCACTTTACAAAAGGGTCTCAATGCAATTCTCTTACGTTCTTTCATTTAGATCTAATAAAAAAAAAAAAAAAAAAAAAAAAGAAAAAAAAGAGAGAAAAGAAAAAAATCAAAAAATAAATAAGTAAACAAATAAAAAGAAATAAAAATAATTGTCAATTATAGATTCGAACGCGTGACGTTGGTATGTTAACGAGTACACCGATAAAACCGTGTTTAGAAAGAAGTCGAATTCGAATCGAAGAGATATTACCTGATTTTAATGACACGAGTAATAGTACAAGAATGACATCGACGAGATTACGTTCGACAGAACAAATGAATAATTATTTGAAACGTAATATAACTCGTAATAATCAAGGAACTATGATCGAGGATAATGATACGTCGTTAGAAATGAAGATAGATAAACAATATAACAAAATATTAATAAACCCACTTCAGATTGAAACTAATTCATCATATAACAGTGTAGACGACGATAGTAAGATATATAGAAAAATTCGTGAATTTGGTACGAATACGGATAGTCCATTGAAGAGATTAGAACGTGCACGTTTTCTCGTTGAGGATATAGCACCAGTGATCGTTAATAAGATCGATAAGAGATCATACGGTACGATTACGAATATAACGATGAAGGATGTATTGACGAACGAGGATGTGACCGTGATAGTAGACGATGCTCTTAGAATTTATAAAAATACTGTATTAAAGAAGACATCGAACAGGGGTACACAATGTATCGAGGAAATAAAAAGGATCATTGATAAGAAAGATCAAAGGGTACAAACGACTAATGAATTGTCCTCGTCATTGATTAAATTTAAATCTAACATTGGCATTATGGCTAAACCAAGATCAACGGATGTTGGATTAGAAGTTAGAATATATCCTGATACAAGAACGATAGCAGTAGGTCCTGATCCACTTACGATACGTAATATTTCATTGAATTCGATTAACTCTAGAAGTCATTCGTTCAATTATGGTGATAATATTAATAAAAGGAAAATCAGGACGATGAAATCGATCGGCATTATGGCCGATGATATAATCAAAATGGCGAATAAATCTTTAGATACCGACGATTTATTACCGAAGAAACGTGATTTTGGTACGTCGCCGATAAAGAAGAAATTTATTGACGTATCGGTCGGTGATTCGATAAAACCACATATATTAATATCATGCGGTACGAATTATTGTGATAATTGTAAGGAGACAATCAAATTGTTGGCTAAACAAATAACCAATAATAACGTTGAGAATAATATGAATCATCAGAATGCCAATTTAGTTTCGAGGATACCAAGGCCATCTCATATAGCTCTTAATACTTCTGATCATAAGAAATTCAGGAGACAGGACACCTATACCAAAATACCGGCCACCGGTATTATTCGTTACGATTCGGATAATAAGGAACAGTACGATAGCAGTAATCGGTTAGTATCATTGTTATTATTATTATTATTATTATTATTATTATTATTATTATTAGGTTGGAAACTATGAAACGGGCATTTTTGTTTAGTTATTTATTTTCATTCAATGCCCGTTTCATAGTTTCCAACCTAATACTATTATTATTATATATATATATATATATATATATATATATATATATATATATATATATATATAAAAGAAACGGTACAATAGTAGTAATCTGTTAGTACCATTATTATTATTGTTATTATTATTATTGTTATTATTATTATTGTTATTATTATTATTATTATTATTATTATTTACATATATATATATAAAGAACAGTACGATAGTAGTAATCGGTTAGTACCATTATTATTATTGTTGTTATTATTATTATTATTATTATTATTATTATTATTATTATTATTATTTATATATATATATATTTAATAATTATATTTTACACATTATATTTATATATAATGTCGAAAGATGTTGGAATGGATTTCGTTTGAGAAAAAAAAACAAAAGAAAAGAAAAGAAAAGAAAAGAAAAGATTAAAAAGAAAGACAAAAGATTAATATGAAGGATTTTTTAATTATGTAGGACTTTCTATCAAGATTTCTTTTTGCATGGATATTAAAAGTAATAATATTGAAATAGGTTTCTCTTTCTTATCTTTTTCTCTTTTTCTTTTTTCTCATTTTCTTTAGTTTTTTTTTTCTTTCTTTTTTTTTTTTTTTTTCTTCACACGAAATCATTTCAAATTTCACAAGAAATCACGCGAAATACAAATTCTACTGACAACAGTCATCGGATTCACAGTAATTTTTATAAACTGCGAATACGTTTGACAGAAAAAAAAGAAAAAAAAAAAAACAGAAAAGAAAAAGAAAAAAGAAAGAAAAGAAAGGAGACAAGAAATATATTTACCAATTGTATCTCGGCGGCGATTTCAGATTATTTTCAATCCGTTTTTGAATTAGAATCGATTAGAATCGACGAATACAACTTGCAGGAATTGAACATAGAAAAAATAGAAAAAAAAAAAAAACCAAAAAAAAAAATTATGCACGATTGCAATGCAGATGAATTTTTATAGACACGCGAATTACGCGAGTTTCGAAAAAGAAATTTAATCATGAGAAATTACATTTCTATTAGGATCGACGAGTACATTTAAATAAATAAATCACACAGAAACGTATTGATAAAAAAATCGTTTAAACTTCACAATTATTGCCGTGACACGTTCGATGATTTATTTCAAAAAATGAAAATAAAATAAGAATTTTTTAATACTTTTAAGAAATATCGTTTAATAATTGTATAATCGTTTGTTTCGTTTTTAATTACGTACCGAAGGAACATTCGTTATAAACTATCGAATTAGTATCGATACTCGAACAAATTTATTTCGATTCTTGAATAAACTTATCTCGATTCTCGAATGTTACTTTAACAATCAACTCCGCCTAGCGGCGTTTTTGTGAAATAACATTCGAGAAAGAGAGAGAGAGAGAGAGAGAGGTAGAAGGGATTCCATTGTCAGTGGAAAAACGTGAAAACGCGCGTCTTTATTTTATCCATTGTAAAAGTGTTTCATAATTAATAAGTGAATAAATTAAAGAATAAGAAGTTTTGTAATATCGAATAAATATCTCCTTTAAATTCTAATATTTATATAATATAAATATTAATCGAGTCACGTGTTGTGTATATATTACAAAATATTAGCCATGTTCGTCGCTAATATCCTTGATTTCGTATTAATTTATTGCGTCGTTGATACGTCGTACGAGTAAAAAGTTTCCTTTTAGTTTTAAATTGGATCGATGCTGCATCCTCAGCAGCATCAACGACAAGACTCTGATCGCTCGATCAACGGAACGAATATTTCATTGTGTAATTTTGTTCAGAATAGGTATTTTTTTTTTTTCTTTTTTATTCTTTTCCTTTACTCTCTCTCTCTCTCTCTCTCCCTCTCTCTCTCTCTCTCTTTCTTATACATACATATTCATAATAATATAATATTAATAATTTAATTAATAATTTTTATTACTTGTGTATACGTATACATATAAAATCTTTATTACAATCTTTATTATATTTTATATTTAATAAAATATTTATTGTATTTTAAATAGCCTTCGACAATTGGAAACGGAGAAGGAAAGAAATGACAAATCTATGTCGGAGGACATATCTCAGGATCAGCCAGAAAAAGGTGTTGAAAATGATGAGAAACAAGAGCTACCTGAGTCAGCTCTCTTTCAGCCTATTCAAGATGATCCAAGAAAGAAAGTGGAACCTTCTAAAGAAATGCAAGCCGCCATGAAAGTACTCAATGATAGTTTTAAAAAGTCACCTAGTAGAAATGTTACGCCACAGATTAAAAATGCAACCAATATAATACAACAGGAATGGTTTAAAATATCTAGTACGGCCAATGCCAATCCATTGGACGTTGAAGATTATTTGGATTGTTTTGAGGAATATTCTAGTACCTTGCTAGAATATATTGTAAATATGATTGATTCCAGTGGTAACACTGCTATGCATTATGCAGTTTCTCATGGAAACTTCGACGTAGTTTCCATACTTTTAGATTCCAAAGTGTGCGATATCAATAAAGCAAATGTGGCTGGATATACCGCTGTAATGTTAGCTGCTTTGGCAGAAGTTAAAAATTCTACTCATGCTTCAGTAGCAAACAGATTGTTTCAGCTTGCCGATGTCAACATTAGAGCCAAATTGGTAATCATACGTTTTTATTTTAATATGAACGATCAATTTACAATTTATTTATATTTTTGATCCATGGTGTATTTTTTCTATTTTTTTTTTTTCTTTTTTTTTAGCACGGACAAACAGCATTAATGTTGGCAGTGTCTCATGGAAGAAAGGATATGACACAATTGTTATTAGACGCAGGAGCCGCTATTAATATTCAGGACGAAGACGGTAGTACGGCTTTAATGTGTGCAGCTGAACATGGACATACCGATATAGTACGAATACTTCTTGCTCATTCAGAATGCGATTCATCGATTGTCGATATAGATGGTAGTTCTGCTCTAAAAATTGCATTGGAAGCTGGTAATAGAGATATCGGTGTTTTACTTTATGCACATGAGCACGTTAACAGAGGTACTAGCCCATATTCCTCAATAAGACGAAATAGAAGAGGTTCTAAACCTACAACGCCAACTGGCCCTTCTCCTTCCGCTCCTGTTAGTCCAGCACCCTCCCGAAGGATGCATTCATCAACGGTTTCCCTTAACACGTCAAAATATTCCGCGAAATAACAGAGGAGCATTTGGAGGCTGTTAACAAAGTTTGGTAAGAAAAAAGATTAAAATACTTACCGTTAATTGCCTCGTTAATTATAATAATAATAATTCGAGGTAAAATGGGAGATATGATCGATGTCTTTTTTGATAATATATAATATCAATTCGTTTAATCGAAATTAAATGATATATTCTTGATTGACAAGAATCTATATGTAAGAATAAATTTCATCAGGTGTATTGTAACATAACGAATTTAAAATAAATGCTCAACTTTTTTTTTTTGTACATATCTATTTAGATAATGGTTGAGCTATTAATATTATCGTGATTGGATTTTATAGAAATATGGAGTTGCACAATTTTTCAGGTGCTATCAATTGTTTTCTACAGATATTTAATAATAAACATATCCAAGTATGAGTTTTCATATCAAATTTTACAATGTTTTATAATAACATAAATCTGGGAACATAAATGTAGAGAGAAAGATTGAAGAATATCAGAGTTTTAACGTGTTTCCAAAATTAGGGAAAAAAGAAAAGAAAAAAGGATTAAGTACAAAGTATCCCTCGATGCGGAGTTAGTTAAACGTGCCACGGTTATAAAACTAAAAGGGAGAAAAGATTTTTAAAGAGGGGGGGGGGCATAAAAAAAGAAAAAAAAAAGAAAAACAAAAAAAAAGAAAAAGGAAAAAGGAATCGTCTTCCAGCGAGCTGTGGCTCTAAAACATTCCAAAATTATCGATTTAAAAAATAAAAAAAATGAGCAAAAGAAAAGAAAGAAAAAAAAACAAAAGAAAAGTAAAAAAGACGAAACGAATAATATATCACATTCTCTTCGCGAAATTCTTTCTTTTTACCATACTTTTTACGTAATCTCCATATTCTTTAGGCCTAATCGCCGTAGATCCTTGAAAACTGAAAGAGTATATAATTATAATGAAGGTAAAATAAAATAAAATAAAATAAAATAAAAGAACTAGAAAGTGATAAAAATAATAATAATAATAATAATAATAATAATAATAATAATAATAATAAATGGTGCAGAAAAAAGTAAAAAGAGCATAAGAACTTTTTAAAAGTGTACAAAAGAACCTCGCGCGTAGAAGAAACGTCAATAGGGTGTTAACTCGTAAGTGTATTTAATTCATTAAGAAAATTCATATACACAAGCATATATATATATGTGTATATATATATATATATATGTTTGTTATCAACAATTGTTTAATAATAATCGTCGCACACAGTCGAATTTATAATAAAAAAAAAAGTAAAAAAATAAAATATAATAAAATTAAATAAAATAAGGATAGAAGATATACGCACGTATGCACGCACACGCATACACATACAAGCACACAAACACACAAACATGAGCGCGCGCGCAATAAACGATGAATAATCTAATAAAACGTGTATAATAAGAAATAAAGAGGGTTTTACGTTAATTTAGATGATCGATCAGTAAAATATGATATGACTGAAACGATTTTCATTGTAGAATTGTGAATAAACGGATACGTTTGAAAATGATTTCATTGACGTTTATCCTACAAAAAAAACAAAAAAGAAAAGAAAAAAGAAAATGAAAGAACGAAAAGGAAAAAAAAAAAAAGAAAAAAAATTAAATACAAGTATTTCTTCTCGTTAACACGTCCCGTGCCAAACCATTCTTGCCTGACTTGTCGTTCAGGTCATTTGATATTTTGACTAAAAAAAAAAAAAAAAAAAAAAATGACTGAAGATCAAGTTTAACGTGTACCACTGGTGGTACACATGGCACGGAACGTATTAAGAATCGATTTATAAAAAAAAAAAAAAAAAAAAAAAAAAACGGTCTTATACATATAATATCTCTTTGTACGTATCAATTGGAGATAGAATTGTATAAAATAATGATCTACATTAGATAATAGTAAAATGTTTTTCATTGTTTGTGCCTTTATATTTAAACGTATTATTATAATTGATAATAAATTTTCAAAATGATTTGAGAAATACATTAGAACGAAGCTCGTTATTTAGGATAAGATTATAGTGACGGACGAAAAAGGAAGGGGGGGAAAAAAAAAGAAAAAAAAAGAAGAAGAAGAAACGGAACATGGAGAAAGGGAGACGGGAAGAAATATTTTATGTAAGTGTAAATTATTTATTATTTCGATTTTTACGATTTATGTCATAGCATAATGTTTAATAATAATAATAATTATCGTTATAGAGATGCGATAACGAACGAAGATGACGCTACATTTTTTTCTTTTTATATAATTATATTATGTATATAATTTTTTTTCTCGTTTTCTTTTCTTTCTTTTCTTCTTTTTTTTTTTTTTTTTCTTTTTTTTTTTAAATGTTTCTTAAATCGTCGCAATAATTAGAAAAATTAGAAATACTTTGCTCCTGCCCCATAAAGTTGATTATTTTCTTGTTGTTGTTGTTGTTGTTTACTTGATTGATTGATTAATTAACATAATTAATTAATTAATTTGTTTAACTGCGTCCAGAATCTTTTTTATTTTTAATTCTTAAAAATTATTTTAAAATACGGCCATATGTAGATACGAAGAATATTCTTTTTATCTCTCAAGATTGCCATCTATTTTTAAGATCGCTGATATATCTAAGACGTTTTCTTCTATTTAATTAATTAATTAATTAATTTATTTATTTATTTATTCATTTATTTAATAATCTCATATGTGATTACTTATGATCAACGTTGATGGCACTTGCAGATAATTTTTTTGGTATTATAATTATTTTTTCTTTTTTTTTTTTTTTTTTTTTTTTAATTTATTACCTTTTAAAGACATCGTTTTAATCTTGAGATATATATAGATCGTCGAAGGGGACACAATTCTGGATCGATCGATCGACGCTCACGCACTTTCTTTTTTTGTTTTTCTTATTAACAGTTTTATTTTTTTTTATGGAACAAAAGCCACACAATTTTTTTTTTTTATTTTCTCGAACAAATATATATATATATATATATATATATATATGTGTGTGTATATAAACAATCGATAGGATTTATAGATCGGATCTATTGATCCTATATTAGTTATATAATAGTTTATCTAGCGTGACATCACGAAGACACATGCAGGGAAAAACGGTAAAGTACAAGAGAAACGTTTGTTTTTTTTCTATTCCTCTTTTCTTTTTTTTTTTTTCTCCTAAGTCTCGATTTGTATGTAAATGTAAGACATAAGTATTAATGCATAATGTAAGAGAAAAAAAGAAAAAAATTGATTTTTCAACAAAAACAAAGTAATTTGTTAATTAATTAATTAATTAATTAATTTATTTATTTATTAATCAATTTATTTATTAATCAATTTATTTATTAATTTATTTATTAATTAATTTATTTGTTAATTAATTAACGTAATTTAAAAAATCAGTAGGAATCTGAATTATTTATAAAGAAATAAAAGATAAATTTAATACATGAGAATTTGTGTTCGTAACAAATTATTTATAACAAATTATTTATAAATTAATAGTAATTAATTAATGGTAACGATATATTGACGAATTAGAAAAAGTTATGCCCTTTAAAATGATATTTTTATCAAGTCTGTATGACTTTTCGTTTCGAAGATATCGCCATTGAATGATTTTCATTCATAATACGCGTAGAACAGCTGTTTCGTAGTAATAGTAATAGTAGTAGTAAGAGCGCGTAAATTCTTGGAATTTATGTAGGTTAGTGCGAACATGAATGAAATTATATAGGTCAGTGGGCTAACGTAAACGTCTTTCGTTTACATGGGAATATCTTCGGAACTAAAAG